AGTGTATTACTCATCTTATAGTAATATACTTATATATTATATACTATAAACATTATATTATATATTACTTATAATACATTTACACATTATATAAACTATATATACTTATACACATTCATACATTTTATAAAAGTAGTTAATTGTTAGACTTGTCATTTATCTATTAAATTAGTTAATTGTTACATTTCTCTACATTGTTCTTTAAAGAAAAAAAATTATTAGTTACTTGTTACATATCATTTTTCATTTAATATTAGTTAAACTAGTTACTTAGTTAATTGCTACATTTCTCATTAAAGTAAAAAAACTAGTTAATTTTTACATTTGTCATATTAATATTAGTTAAACTAGTTAATTGTTACATTTCTCATATTAATATTAGTTAATTGCTACATTGCTCATTAAAGTAAAAAAAAAAAACTAGTTAATTTTTACATTTTTCATATTAATATTAGTTAAACTAGTTAATTGTTACATTTCTCATATTAATATTAGTTAATTGCTACATTGCTCATTAAAGTAAAAAAAAAAAAAGTAGTTAATTTTTACATTTGTCATATTAATATTAGTTAAACAAGTTAATTGTTACATTTCTCATATATAATTATTAGTTAATTGCTACATTTCTCATTAAAGTATTAATTACAAGTAGTTCGAATTTTTTTTCAAGGAAAACAAATTGTTACATTTGATATACTCACATTTTAGTTCGAATTGGCTATAGTTTTCTTAGTCACATTTTATTACTACTATTGTACTCATATAAAATATTTGATATCATTTAATATTTGTTCAATTTTAAAGATGGAGCGTGGTAGACATTCTGTAGATATGGGTAATCTCCAACGCAACCGCAAGAGGGAGATTGCGGCGACTCGTCCTACTTCACGCAAATGCAAAGGTAAAGCGCGGGCCGAGTCTTCTTTTCAATGTCGAGATGATTTTGAAACGGATTACCAACAGAGAGATGATATGGCGATGTCCGACGAGCAACTACAAAACCTATTGTCCCGAAATGATCCACGCTTTGCACAAGAACAACAATTCCCGACAACCATTGATGAAGAAAAGCTCGAGGATGACGATGCGGAGGAGGACGAGGGGGGCGACGGGACTCACGGCACCCCGAATGATGAGCAAGAGTTGGAGGACGAGGGCGGTTCATCCCAAGTCGGTAAGAAATCTAAATCTCCTATTATTGAAAACAATTTTACAAAAAGGATAGACAAAAATACCGATAAATGGTACGCAAGTTGCAATCATTGCAACAAAGAGTATAGCTTGGGAACTTCTGGCGGATACGGGAGTCTGACAAGGCATCTTAAGTCTGCCCACTTTGTGGAGTATGCGAAAATAGACAAAGGCAAGGGGAAGCAAACACAAATATCGAGGTTTGCAAATTCTCAACCCTTTGGTAATTTCTCCTATGATGATCAAAAACATTTGACTGGTATGTCTCATTTAATTGTTGAAGAAAATTTACCTTATATTTTTTCCGAAAGTCTTGCTTTAAGAGATTATGCTCAAGGTACTTTAAATCCTCAATTTAGAAATAATAGTCGCAAAACGATTAAAAAAGAAGTTATAAAGCAATATAACTTGGAAAAAGAAAAATTACAAACATTTTTCGCAAACATTGATGGACGTGTTAGTATTTGTAACGATATATGGGAGGATACTTATCATCATTTATATTATTTGAATCTTACTGCACATTATATTGATGATGATTGGAATATGCATAAACGTGTTCTTGCTTTTCGTGAAATCAATGATCGTCACACTGCTGATAATATTTATATTCTCATTGAGCGTATTTTAATTGAATATAATTTGATTGATAAGGTGTTTGCTGTAGGTTTTGATAATGCTAGTAATAATACTGCTGTTATACCTAGATTGCGTGAATTGTGTGGTGCTTCTACATTGATGAGTAGGTTTTTTCATCAACGTTGTGCATGTCATATTCTAAATTTGTGTGTACAAGATGGGTTAACGGCATTAGGAGATGCTTTGGAGGTAGTGAAGGGGGGAATTAAATTGATTTGGGCTAACACTCCACTAAAAATGCAATGGCGGCAATATTTGAAGGATAGGCGTGTCAATTATTGTGCTTTTCCTAAAGATTTGTCTATTCGTTGGAATGGTACTTATAACTTAATTCAAGTACTTATTAGATATAAAGATCATTTTCCTGCTTTTTTAAGACAATCGTGTAACTATATTATAAACCCGGCTGACATCGACACTTGTGAAAAAATTGTTAATGTTTTGGTATATTTTAATAACGCAACTCAAACTTTTAGTCATGTTTATAAACCTACCGCAAACGAATTTTTTGTTGAAGCTGTTAATCTCGCCAGCGCTTTTTGTGAATTTTCCGATGCCGCTTATGTTAGTTATTTTTGTGATTTCATGAAACAAAAGTTTTTAAAATATTATTCACATATTCCGCATATATATGGTATTGCATTTGTTCTTGATCCTCGTTATAAACTTGCTTACTTGGGAACTTGTATAGATTACTATTATGCTTCTTTTTTTCCAACTCAAGAGTTCGATGATAATCTCATCGACCCTAAACAAGAATACAACGAGGTTAGTAATTTATTTCATCAATTGTATAATGAATTTCATGCACAATATGGTAATGCACCCCCTCCCATGCCGCGAACATCTTCTTCCTCTAAAGGAAAATCACTTTTAAAATCTGCATTTGGTTCTCTTTTGAAAAAAACTAGAGCAACTCCCACTACTGAACAAAGCTCAGTTAACGAGCTTTCTTTGTATCTAACATTGAATGTTGATTATGAAGTTGAGGATGACTTTGACATTCTTAAGTGGTGGAAGGAAAATGAAAGAACGTTCCCGGTTTTATCAAAGATGGCTAAGCAAGTGCTAGCAATGCCGATATCAACAGTTGCCGTGGAACAAGAATTTAATGCGGCCGGCAAAGTCCTAACCGATTATAGAACGAGATTGAGCCCGAGCTCTCTTGAGACGCTAGTTTGCTTCCACGATTGGTCGAAGGTCCACCCGCCACTTTATGGAGGAAACAACCACCGAAGGCGGAGATTCCGATTGATTTTTTATTACAAAATGTATTACATTTATTAAATTCATCCTAATTCTCAATTGTACTTCTTATTTGAAATAAATATACTTGAATTATTTTATATTATTGTGTAGATCAATTCAATAATCAACAAAAAAAATTTATTCAATAATCAATTCAATAAAATTAATTTGTAAACTTGTACTTCATATTTCAAATAAATATGCGTTCATTTTTTCATATGTAGCACTTCTCAAATTAATTAATTGGTTACAAACTTACAAGTTACAACTTCAAATTATTTTTGTAAAATCCAAAGGCTGTTTTTAAATTAAAAATACATTTACAATATGTAATTTGTTTAAATACTTATACACCTATTTTGCAATATTTGTAAATTATAAATCAAACCACTTTTCTAAGTAAAAATAATTTTACTTAATTCATTAAATTAATTAACTTATTTTACAATATGTATAATTTTCAAAAATTAAAAATTAAAAACATTTTAAATTACAACATAGCTCCCAAACGGCTATATAGCCGTTGGGGCTTAGGGTGGGGGGCAGGGGGGTCCCAGGGGTGGTGGTGTGGGGAGTGGGGTTCAAATAAACCTATAAATACATCTATTTTCTACCATTTTTCTACACCTCTTCTCCAACTCTTCTCTATCTTCATCTTCTCTTAGTATCCTACATTCCTACCTATACATCTACCATTTTAAAGATGGAAAGTAATTCTTCTCTTATGCAAAACAATTTTGATAAGTGGAAGGACCCGAAGACCGGACTGTGGTGGGCAACTTGCAAGTGGTGCAAGAAAGAATGTTGCTTGGGACGTTCACACAGAGTTGGGATGCCAATAAAACATATGAAGTCATGTGACAAAGGCAAAACAACCAACAGTGGCAGAAATCCGAATTGATATTTATTAGAAAATGTATTTCATATTGTTATTTTTTTTCTCAATTCTCAAATGTACTTCCTATTTCAAATAAATGCACTTGAATTTTGTTTTTTATTAGAATTTGTATAATAATATAATATATAATTAAAAATAATAATAATAATAATAATAATAATAATAATAAAAGGCCCGGCCCGTGACCCGGGCTGGTGACCCGGCCCGAACCGGACCCGGGGGTTACCCAGGCCGGTTCCGGGCCTCCCCTTTCCTGAACCGAGGCCCGGCCGGTCCTAGGCCCAGCTTGGCCCGAACCGGCCCGGGTCCATCCCTAGCTACGTCTTTCAATATAATTATGTATGTTTATATCGCCTCCGTAAGTACCAAGGACGGGGCCTCACTTTCTATCTGTCAGATTGTAATTATAGTTCAATTTACACCTTCCTATCATGCCGTCCGGTCGGTGTTGGGGCTCCCTCAGGGATGGGGTGTCATCCTTTTTTATGAATGTTTATGTCGTGCATAGGGATGGACTCGGGCCGGGCCAACCGGCCCGGAACCGGACCGGCCCGCTACAGTGCGGGCCCGGACCGGCCCGGTCAACCGGTTCGGTTCCGGTTCGGGCCTCCAGGCCCGGTGGTATACCGGTCCGGGCCCGGGCCTCCAGTTTAGTGAACCGGCCCGGCCGGGCCGGGCCCGGTTCGGGCCGGAATTTATTTTTTTTTTTTTTTTTTGAAATTTTTTTAAATTTTGGGTTGGATTAGGTATTTTGGGCCATTTGAGGTGGTTTGGGGTGGTTTGGGGTGGAGGGGGAGGGGTAGGGGGTTAAATAAGAGAAGAAGAAGAAGAAAAAAAAAAAACATTCCGGGTGGCCCGGCCCGGCCCGGCCCGGTTCTGGCCCGGAACCGGAACCGGAACCGCCCACAACCGGTTCGGGCTCGGGCCTCCTTATTCTGAACCGAGGCCCGGCCGGGCCCAGGCCCGAACCGGGCCCGAACCGGAACCGGTCCACCCCTAGTCGTGCATACTGGCTAGTGGCCACCAGACACCAGTCCTTCGCCGTTATGGATCTTCAACTACTACAAAAATCTACAACCTTCTTTTACATGTATGCCAATAAAGAATGATCTCAAAAAGTTCTTCGTGTACAAGAAATAGAACCATAAAACTCAGCAACTATATTTGTGAGCTTCACATATGATCTCTTGGCGTATATTTTACCCTTTTGTGCATCACTCAACTTCCGTCTGCAGCTGCTGCTATTAATGGGAACTTTTGAAGGATTGCTAGAGTTTCCTCCAGGGCGCTGACATAACAACAGTAGAAATACAATGTATCGTTAAGTTCTTTAGCATTAAAAACACATACATTTTTAATACTCCCAAATATTTGACAAATAACACAGTGAAGCTTTATGCACTACAGCGCTAAAAGACCAAGAAAGCCTTCTGATACCATCCCTATATATGAAATGTGTTCTTTAATCGCTGAGTACTCGCTCAATTCTCCTATTCCGGGTAGGGCCTTGCTGATTAATACTCTGACTCCACTGATTTTCTCTACTGGTTACAAGGTTTTTGCTTGACGAGTTAAGATATTTTTATTTGCACTGAAATTTGTTGATTGATCTGGTCTGAACTGGTCTGGTAATGTCTGGTCTATGTTTATTTTATAGTTATGGATGTCTGGTCTACTTTGATCTGGTCTGTTTAAACCTGATCTGGTTTGATGTGGTCTGTTTAAACCTGGTCTAGTACTGAAAACAATCCAAGTAACAACATTCTTACGTGACAGCCAATAAGTTGATTTTTTGGGGTTAAATCTTAAAAACTAAAACTACATGATTCATGAAATTCATGAATAATTTGTACTTATTTTTAAAAATAAAAAAAAATGAGATTATAAAGCTAGTCAAGACTCACGGACATGGAGGATGAGAAGAAAATAATGACGAACTCAATGAAGGTTAGTTTAAGTTGGTATATTAGGTGATCGATTTTTGGAAGTTAAAATGTTTATGATTGTTAGGATTTGTTACTACTTCATTATTAAAATTGAAATTTTTAATCATTACTACTCTGATGGATGGATGTCTGGTCTACTTGATCTGGTCTGTTTAAACCTGATCTAGTTTGATGTGGTCTGTTTAAATCTGGTCTGGTATTGAAAACAATCCAAGTAACAACATTCTTACATGACAGCCAATAAGTTGATTTTTTGGGGTTAAATCTTACTACCTCCGTCCCACTAAGATTAGGACAGAATAAGGTGACACGATTATTAAGAAAAGTGGGTTTGTGTGGTTGATATTAAATTGATAAAATAAGAATAAAGTAAGAATGGTTTAGAGCCACACAATCTTTACCAAATTTGGTATGGAATAATCTTAATGGGACTTCCCGAAAAGGTAAAATGAGACAATCTTAACGGGACAGAGGGAGTAAAAACTAAAACTACATGATTCATGAAATTCATGAATAATTTGTACATATTTTAAAAAATAAAAAACTGAGATTATAAAGCTGGTCAAGATTCACGGACATGGAGGATGAGAAGAAAATAATGACGAACTCAATGAAGGTTAGTTTAAGTTGGTATATTAGGTGATTGATTTTAGTGGAAGTTAAAATGTTTATGATTGTTAGGATTTGTTACTACTTCATTATTAAAATTGAAATTTTTAATCATTACTACTCCCTCAATAAAGAGACACAAATTTTACCAAATAAGGTATGTGACAATAATAGGGGGACATTCAAAAATGGAAAAAATTATAGGGGGCAGATGAAGTACTAAATTTGGTAAAGTTTGTGTAGTTCTAAATCATTTTAGTTATTCTTACTTTATCGGTATCAATCACATAACCCCAGTTTTTCATAATAATTATGTCACAATGTTAGTGGGACGGAAGAAGTACTAACTAAATGGTATACAACTTAGATTTGAAACCCACAATTAATAAATGAAAACAAGGTTTATTAATAGGAAATAAGATTAAAAATGTCTCTCAAATAAGCATTGTAAAGACTACTAAGCAATGTTCTAAAAGGCGCTAGGCGCTAGTCGGGCGCCAGCCCAACGCCTAGGCGGGGACTAGTCGAAGACATAGGAATTGCATTCTTATCTATATTTTTGCATAAATATGATAAGTAGTTTTGTATTTTTGTGTTTATAGAATACATATATACTTATACATTAACAAACATGAATTATAGAATTATCACATTTAATCATATGTAGTATATGATAATTAATCGCTTAACTTCATTATGTTAAAAATATAAATAATGATAAAATTTAGGTATATATACAAACTATATAGTTTTATCTTAATTTACAACTTCATTTCTTTATATCCATGGCTAAAGTTAGAGTACGTATATCGCTTAGGAAATTAAAATTAAAAAGTGAAGTAATGTTCGGTGAATCTAGACGGTCTAGGCGGCCGATTAGGCGCTCTACGCGGGCAACTAGGTGCCATAGGCGGCCGACTAATTCACCTAGACGTGAAACCAATTAGTCGGAGTGCCTAGACGAAAATCGGGGCGCCCGACCACCGCCTAGCGCCTAGGCGGGGACTAATCGGACGCCTAGAACGATTTTTAGAACAGAGCTACTAAGTTCTCAAAAATCATCAAAGACTAAATCATCTTTACGATATTCATCGCCCTCATCATCATCATCATCACGAGTAGGAGTAGATGCCTAGATGGTGTTTGGCCATAGTCGTCTAAAAGATCTTCGTAATCATTTAGAAAATTATCTTCTTTTTTCATATCTTCGTCAATCAACCTTAATGAAGAATTCGAACCACGGAGTCTATAATAAATTTGTTCTCCGCGAGATTTACCAATTATAGGAAGATTATGACCCTCAAGATTGCTTGTTACACCTGCAGCTTCATCAACTTGACTCCATAAATGATAATCATCGAGATGAACAACATCATTGCTAACCCATTCATTGTCCCATTGGAACCCTTCAAATATTAACAGGTTAAAGCTCGTTCCTTGTTCATGCTCCAACTTGCTTTTTTTGTATGAATCTAAAAAAAGTGTATATTTGATTAGTATTGTAATTTAATTAGTCAAATCTTATGTAATTTGTAATTGTAGTACTACTACTTACAAACTCAAAAGTACTCCAATTAAGCTCAAAGGCATAAGAGGTACAATAGAGACCAACTATGTGTTTTGCGAATGATTGCAGTTCAACAGTGAGTCCACCAAAAGCAATCTACCAATCAACTATAAATTAGTCACAAATATAATATTAATTTCTTTTTAATACTTTTAAAATATTTTTTAAATATAATAAACAATATCACTTATGATATTGTTTGCTAAACTTCCTTTCAATTTATCGGCATCTATCATTTGATCACTTATCTTGGCATGAACGGTTTCATTGGTGATCATCTTTTCTAGCACATCATTAAACACCATTGGTTACCTTGATGCAGATGCTGCTGAAAGGATTTTTTAAAAAAAAAAGCTCCATATAATTTGACCCCCATTTGGATTTTTCATCATGTCTCAATTATCCTAACCATGCTTCTCAAAACTCTAGTCTTGTTCTCAAGACTCACTGATTTTATTGTTGGCATAATCCATGACCATTGAAAGCTCTTGTATAGCCGGTTTTCATCAGCATCAACGATCCTCAAGAGAATTATAAGTTGTTGTGAAGCTCTTATGCAATCTTCCACTACACTCCAATATTTCATAGATAATACAATATCGTTTACCTTATTTCCCGCTTATGTGGCCGGGAATTTAGATCTACTCCAATCTAGACTGCTAAATTGATTTCGCAATGCTTCTTTGTGTTTATATAGAAATTACAAAGTAAGAAACGTTGTTGCAAATCTAGTAGCTTCACGTCTTACAAGATCCTTTCCACCGGTCTTTTTGTCTTAGTGAATGGAGGATCCTCGTATGCTGATAAATGAAAATAGTCACATGTCTCGCTTTTCAGTGTGGGACTTAGAAATCGAATTATTTTCCAATACCTTCCAACATCAAATCCAAACAATGCACAACACATGGAGTCCAATTGTCCAATAAAGCGTGGATATCTTGTGCTCTAGAAGCTTTCCCACAATCTTATAATTACAGCCATTGTCTGTCATCACTTGCACTACTTTGTCCTTCCCAACTTCTTTGATTTTTATTTCAAGCAAACATGTTAGCAATATTGCATCTTAAGATCCACCTGATGCCACAACTAAGCCTAGAAAAAAATACATTCTGAACTATAGACAAAGAAATTAATCAGGTGTCGATTCTTTCAGCCAAACCATCCAAATAGATTTGTCTAAGACATCAACTTCTCAATTGAGTTTTGGGATAGCTGTCAAGAGAAAAATGTTTCTTCACAATTCTTTAATGTTCCATAAAAAATGCCAAAACAAAAAAAGTCAATTTCCTCCCTCATTCGCAAAACTCCTGAGGGAGGTTGTTGATGAAAGACATGTGAAAGGCCCCACGCAAAGTACATTATCACAATGTACAAAAAGAAAGGAGGATAAAGAGAGGGTCATCGTGCACATAGCTGATTTTTTAATGGTAACGGCATTCCTTGCAATGCAGCAAACCCCAGGAGCTATGAGATCATGGCGGAGTCAATTGGGCAGTACCAAGACTTAAGCCTCCTAATTATCATAACTTGCGTGTACCACTTCTTCAGAAAGCAAAGACAGAGACAGCATGAGAGAAACATGAGGTTGCTTGGAACGAATACGAACACACACTTGTCCGATGGATGGTCTGACCGAATCTAGCGACACCTGATTAATTTCCTTGTCCAGAAGGCACATTTTTTAGACTCAGTTGATGCATCAAATAAATTTCAAGATGCAACATTGTTAGCAGGTTTGCTTGGGAGAAAAATCGAAGAAGTTGGAGTAGATCTAAATTGGTTGCCACAGAAGCAGGAAAGAAGGTAAGCGATATTGTATTATCTACTAGATTCTGGAGTGCAATGGAAGATTGCATAAGAGATTCACAAGCACTTCTAGTTGTCCCGAGGATAGTTAATGCCGATGAAAAACTGACTATGCCAGAGCTTCCAATAGCCATGGATTATTACAAGAAAAAATTCAGTGAGTCAATTCAAAACAGGCCTAGAATTTTGAGAAGTCTAAATGGAGGTCAAAGTATAAGGGGCAGCTTTGTTTTTCAATCCCAAATATTTCGATCTCAAACAGACAAATTCAGCATCTGCATCAGGGCAACGAATGATGTTTAAAGACGTGCTTGAAAAGTTGGTCACTAGTGAAACACTACAAACCAAGATAAGTCATCAAAAAACAGATTACGACAAATTGTGAGGAAGTTTTGCAAAAGCAACTTGCAGTCAAGCAACAAAAAACTAAGAGTCAATTTAACTGATATTGTTATTATATTTAAAAAAGTAAACATATTAAAATGTAACTAATATTTTATTGTGACTAATTTATAATTTATTGATGGGATGCTATTGGTAAACTCACGACTGAACTGCAATCATTCACAAAACACATTGTTAGTCTCTGTTGTACCTCTTCTAGATGTGAGTATAATTGGAGCACTTTTGAGTTTGTAAGTAGTAATATTTGAGTACCAACTACAATTACAAACTACAAAGGATTTTGACTAATTAAATCATAATACTAATCAAATATTTTTTTATTTTTTTTAGATTCATATAAAAAGATTCATTATTTTTTGGCTTGAGAATATGATGGAATAAAGCAAAATGGCTCACTAACTGTCTACGCTTCTTTGTTATGAAGCAGCAGTCAGTCCATGCAATTTTGGACGCGATTTTCACTACGGGTCATCCGGAAACAATTTTTCTGTGCTTGTACAGGGGTAAGACTGCGTACATCCGCCCCCCCCCCCCCTACCCCACCATAGGTGGGAGCCTTTGCGGCACTGGGATAAATGAAAATGAAAATGAAATGATAGATTCACACAAAAAGAAGAAGCACGTTGGAACATAAGTGGTTAAATGACTTGATTTTTATTCAAAATAATCGGAGGATAGCAACTAGATTTCAAAAGCGGTTTGAACAAGAAACGGGCTTCAACCCGTTAATATTTGAAGAGTTTAAATGGCCAATGGGACAATGAATGGGTCAGCAACGATGTTGCTCATCGCAGTAATGATCTTTTATGAAGTCAAGTTGATGAAGTTGCAGGTCCATTAAGCAATCTTGAGGGTCGTAATCTTCATAGAACTTCTAGCTCTCGTGGAGAATCGGTCTATTATCGACACCATGATTTGACTTCTTCATTAAGGTTAATTGACGAAGACATGAACAAGAAGAAGACGATTTTCCAAATGATGATGAAGATGTTGAAAATGACTAATGGTCAAGCACCACATACTCCTACTCGTGATGATGATGATCAGGGTAATGAAGGCCATAGAGATGAATCTGGTGATTTAGTCTTTGATGCTTTTTGAGAACTTAATAGTTTGATCTTTTCAGTGCTTATTTGAGACTGACATTTTTAATCTTAATTTCAATTAGTAAACCTTGTTTTCAATTATTAATTGTGGATTTCAATTCTATGTTATATACTTCCTCCGTTCTTTTTTAGTTGCAACAGTCAACCTTTGCACATTTGCCAACGCACACATTTGACCGTAAGTATATCTTAATCTCTATTAATAAAAAAATATTAAAAATCAGATTTTGAAAATTTGTAATGAGATGAATTGAAAAATATATTTTTTAAAAAATAATTTTCATAAAATAATAGTGTAAAATGTAGTCAAAGTAGATCATGTGAACAGTGCAAAAAGTCAACACGTTGCAATTAAAAAGAGACGGAGGATAGTACAATTTAGTTAGTAATATATAATTATATATATATATATATATATATAGAGGAATGATCATGTACATATGGATGTACGGGGGGCTCCATACGGACAAAGCCATTAGAGGCCCTTCCGGGTGGAATTTTTTGATGAAATTTTTTGAGCATGTTCTGCATCAAGTCTAGTTTATCCATACCAAATTTCAGCTCAAAATTCGATCGGGAAGGCAGTCAAATATATTCTTGAAATATATGGCGCATTCTGCGCACATATAATGTGCAGTATATTTCAAGAATTTATTTGACTGTCTTCCCGATCGAATTTTGAGCTGAAATTTGGTATGGATAAACTAGACTTGATGAAGAATATGCTCAAAAAACTTCATCAAAAAATTCGAACGGGAAGGGCCTCAGATGGCTTTGTCCGTACGGAGCTTCCTGTACATATGGATGTACAGGAACAGCCCTCTATATATATATATATATATATATATATATATATATATATATATATATATATATATATTGGTATAATATACTACCTCCGTCCCGGTAGACTTTGTCAAGTGCAAAGCAGGTGAGAAATAAGAATAGTAAAAACTATGTGGTTGAGATTTGTGCAGAGGAGAGAGAAATGTGCAAAACCAGAAATTAGTTGCTTTAATAGGAATGTGGCAAAGTTTTTTGGGTTTTTGTCTTGAATATTACTAATAAAAGGGCAAAAAGCAAAAAAGTGACCTTTTTAAAAAATTCCTGAAATGTGACTAATAAGTGACAAGCTTGCTTATATACACACTGCTACAGTGACACAAGACACAGTGACATCCACCCCCCCTTGCCACTGTAACCGCCACTCGTGTCACTGTGGCCGCCGCTCGTGTCACTGTAGCCGCCGCTCGTGTCAATGTAGCCACTACATGTGTCACTGTAGCCACCGCACGTGTCACTAAAGCCACCGCCTATGTCACTATAGCCACCGCCCGCGTCACCGTAGCCGCCGCCGCACTGTGGCCGCCGCCGCAAGTCACAGTCACTGCCGACGGCACCGCCCATTACCTCCACCCCAATAAACTCCGGCCACCTACAGCTGCCACCGCAACATTCCGGCCACCACCGTAACACCCAGGTCACCGCCGCAACACCCAACCCAGCCCCACAAGCCCTGCCCCATCCCCATCAGCCCTGCCCCACACCACCGGACCTACCCCTGCCCCAGCCCTCAGCCCCCAAACCCAATCGAGAGTTCCCAGCCCTAGCCCCCAACCGCCATCCCACAACCTCCGCCAGTAACCTAGCCACAAACTCCGCCGATTTAGATTCCGAACGTCCCATCCCAGACCTGAAATTTTAACTGATAAAAACGACGATGAAGCCCCCAAAATCGAACAGATTGAAAAGAAATAGAAGCAGGGGCCATGGCGATGACGACGACGACTGCGGCGTTCAAGGACGGTTGAAACCAGATGCGACGGACTAGAGATGGTGGTGATTCGGACTGACGATCTGGAGGTGGAGCTATCATCTTCGGCGCATCTTTGTCGAAGGATGTTGTTTGAAGCTGTGGAGATAACCGATCAGGAGGTGGAGCTGTCATAACCGGCTTTTGAGAGAGAGGTTTGGGAGACGAGGATACGGCTGGAGACGATGATGGATGAGCTATGGCGTAGGGGAGACGGATGGCGTAGGGGAGACGGATGGCGCAGGAGAGGCGAGTTGCGTAGATCTGGATCGAGAAAGAAGGATATGGTCACTTTTTTGTAAAGTCTAAAAGAAGTCATATTTTTGCCTATTAAAACCTTATAGGTTTTAATTGGCAAAGTCCAATGGGACGGAGGGAGTATTATATAATGTGCGACTAATCGCCTAAATGTCTTCTAAGCGGGCGCCTTATCGCCTAGGCGATATGGTGGTCGGTTGAGCCGTGACTCAACTTACCGTCATGAAAAGTATGATATGAACTTACACTAGTACATAATTTGACTTTTAATATGTTTAGGCTCCATTTGATTTCAAGAAAACCATTTCTCATGGAAAATTGTTTTCCTTAAATAGCCTTTAACTAACAAAGAAGTCATTTATGTACAAATATAACATCTAACGCACAAAAACAAGAAAACAAATCAAAATGTTTGAGGAACATGAAGCCCTATTCTAGAAAGAGAGGTTTTCCGTAGAAGTTACAAAAAACCATTCAAATATTTTACTCAAGAAAAATGTCTTTCCGTACCAAACCCATGAAAGTCGAGAAAACCTTTTCAAGATAAATATATGGCGTTTGGACAGAAAAGAATAACAAAAATTTGATTGCTTTTCAAATTTTTTAAAAAGGTGATTGTGGTGATACCGCCTCACATGTCAGTATGTCACTATGACCTGCAGTTTCCGGTGACCTTGCAACAATCTTTTTCTAGCAACTTTTTGTGATGGATTTTCCCATTGATTTTGTTGGTATGTTTCTGGCAAGAGTCAGAACGGAGGCGGGGAATATAATAAGAGAAAAGCTATTTTGGTCATTATTTAGTCAGTTTGAAGGTTATTATGGTTTAAGATTATTTAGTCAGTTTTTTAAGAAATATTTGAAGGTTGTCATATTTTCTTGAAAAGCTATTTTGGTCATTCTTTCTAAACATATTTTCGTGGAAACAAACGGAGCCTTAAACAAAGCCAAGTTTGCATGCTTACCTTCCAGATCGTAATATCTTGTACTTTCCTTGTTTAGTGAGATCCACCACGGTGGAACCTGCACGCCCAGCTGGAAGAACACCACCATCAAAGATATACGCGCAGTGCCCCCAGAGGTTCTCAAAGTCTCTGATCTTGATGCTGCTAGCTTGACCACTAAGATTTGCGCTTGTGAGTGCAAGTGCACTTCCAGAACAGCGGGCAATTACCCTAATAAAGTTATTATCTGGTACTCTAACTCCTATGCTCTCAACTCCAGGGTTTAAAGATTTCTCAAGGATACTTGACTCACCTGCAAATAAATTCAGAAAATTGATATTTGGGTACATGTACCATGCCTTCTGCTACACTGCCTAAGCTAAGGCTCCGCTTGTTTACAGGAAAATATCTTTTCATGGAAAATGTTTCCCTGGGATTCAGGATATGCTTTCTTGGAAAATATGTTGTTCTATACTTCTATGTATGTAAGTATGTTTTGCACATAAAAATAGAAACGTAAAAACTGTTTTAAGAATAAGGTGAGTTATTTTTCCAAAAACTGCACAAAAGCACGATTTTTTTCCGCAGTATCAAAGAAATATCCGCCCAAGAAAAGCTTTCCATGTCTCTAAAACAGGAAAACCAAAATGTGTTCTCGAGGAAATAAATTGTACTGGAAATGAACAGAGCCTAAACAGAAAAAGACACAAACCTCGGCTTAGCACAAGAGTAACAGGACCAGGAAGGAGAGAGTGAAGCAAGCCGTTGGGTAAATGATCAGTGAACGCATACTTGTGAATGTCATGAACATCCCCAACACAAATGGCAAGTGGATTTGTATACTTGCGCCCTTTAATCTCATATATATGATTAACTGCCTTGGCAGAACTGTGATAACAACATACAATGTTAAAAGAAATCATGCGAGTGTATAGAAATCTGCGAAGTAGATATGCTTTGGGATTCAGTACCAAACTTAAAGAGAAACAATCCTAAATTATCCAATTTAGCATTTACTGTTCAAGGTACGGAGTAAATAATTTTACATATAGAAGTAAAATGGGTGTCCCTATTCCTACACCATTGACTTCAAACCGTACCCTCTCAATAATAGCAAAATTTCTTTCTTGCGCAGTTTCACCTAACAATAAACATAAAATATGACACACTGTGAATGATAGAGATGAAGTTAACTGAATGGAACTCCAGCACAGAATCACAGTTCAGATTGCACAAAGAAACAACACTTACGAAAGACAATGCAGGAGGACAAATATTTCATTTAACGAGCTATATTGAAATAGTAAAAACGGGTCAACTTTAAGGGAAATAATGGATGGGACTTACCAAGCGTCACAAGCAAAGCCATAAACTGTATCAGTGGGGACAGCAATAACATGGCCAAACTTTATAGCTTCAATTGCAGCATTAGCATAACCTTCTATTGCTGGTCTCACCACTCCCAAATCCATCCTATCGCCCAAACAAACCCCAACCAATCCCCTTTGGCGCTGCCCTGATCTCGAAATACCAATTTTCCTGCTCACCCCTGAAGGCCCAAAGATAAATAAAAAATCTTGAACACCAAAAAATAAGCATTTATACCAAGATACTATTGGTTCTGTTATGTATCTTCATCAGGCTTATTCAGCAGAATAAAAACTTTTGACTTATTGATTTGGCCAGAATTAATGTCACTAAGCGCTTTTCCTTTAAGAAAATCTAAGGGATTATTCTTCCATTTCAGTCAAATACTTTTTACTAAAGGCCCTATATTTGTTGAGTAAATAACAAAGAGAAAACAAAAAGATTTAGTGATGTTCAAATATGCATGATATGAGAGATTGTGAAGAACCTAGAGAGGGCAGGAGAAGAGGGGCAAGGAGAGACACTCGCTGGGCAATTCTTATGCTTTCAGGGGGAAGGTTCATCAGCAACTTCTACTTTTTGCTTGCAGCTTTGCTTTGGAGACTCAGAAGATTTTGGCACGAGCTTTTGAAAACAAGCCTATGCCATATTCCATTGGGAAAATATTGAAAGATGTATTATGTAAAATCTTATAAGTCCTCCACGTAGCTAAAATTCTAAGATGGATTTATTGTGAGTGTATACACATAACCTCATATTCTTAGATGCATAATAACGATATATTGGATATATCATATCATCATCATTATCATTACCCAATGCCGCAAAGGCTCCCACCTACGGTGGGGTAAGGGGGTCGGATGTACGCAGTCTTACCCCTGTACTAAAGCACAGAGAGACTGTTTCCGGATGACCCATCGTGAAAATCACATCGAAAATTGCATGGACTGACTACTACTTCATAACAAAGAAGCGCAGTCAGTTTAATGAGCCAATTTGCTTTATTTCATCATATTCCCAAGCCAAAAAATAGCGAGTCTTTGGCTCCATTGCAAATGATGGAAATATATTGGATATACGTAGTATCATATATTCATAAAAATTAAACATGTTAACATCGATATTGGACTCCTCACCCCATTGTTTAAAACCTGTGTTTAAAGAACCGGACCGGACCGGGCAGTACGACCCGGAACCGGACCACCCGGCCAATTATCCAGTCTGGTTAACCTCTAAACCGTTAATATGCCTAAACCCGGAAATACACGGCGAACCGTGTTCACCCGCACGGGAACCAGCCCGGTCCAGACCCACTAAATAGCAAAAAACCCGAAAGTAATGACGCCTGAGGGAATCGAACCCGCGCCTCCAGCCTTTCAAATTCCTTCCCATCCGCTGCACTACACTTGCTTGTTGTTACAATGTTGTACTTACTGCATTTTATACCTTTTAAAACTTGCAACTTTTTTTACTTAACATAAATAAACTAAATAATAGAACAATCATAATTCATACAAACTAATTCTATTAATGTACTTCCCAATTATGTATATCATCTTCCAAATATATTTGTTTAATTTGTTTATTTTTTGTAATTGGTGTTATGTTTATTTTGGTTATTCACATAATTTTAATTGTATTTTAGACTTTGTTAAAATCAATACAATTGTTTTTTATTTTTCTTATATTTTATTATCAATTTCAAATTATAAGGGAATACAAATTTTTTATTTATAAATTTAATGTTTTATATAATTATATCTATATATATATATAGATATATGCATATATATATATTTAAATATTTAATTATTAGTGTTGACCGGGTTTCGGTTCATTGACCGGGCTGACCCGCCGGGTCCGGGTTGACCCGTGACCCAATCATATTTCCGGGTCGCTCTCCGGTCAGGTTCTTTAAATATAGTTTAAAATCTCTAAATTTGCATTCAAAGCCCCAAATTTTGGGTGCAATGTTTGGGGGTGCAAATGTTTAATCTATAAACAACCCACTTTCGGGGATTTGGTTTGCAAAGTCAGATGGTTTAAAGATTGGGATGAAAAGTCCAATATCGAAGTAAAAATGGAATTCAAACTCAATTTATAACTCTTATTCATTAATAATCCCGGTCCAATTTTATATTTTCTTTTTTTCTTTTTTTCTTTTATCTTCTTTATCTTTCTATGTTCTTATGTTATGTTTATATTTCTTATGCTCTTGTATCTTTTTATCTTTTATCTTTCTAATGTTCTTATATAATTTTTATCTTGTATTCATCTTTATCTTATCCATTTATCGTATTTTATCATTTTATTCTTCTTATCTTTCTTCTCTTTTTGGCTCTGATATCATGGATCTATTCATGTTGTTTTTGTTGTTGTTGAGCAAAACTTCTTCCATCTCTAGTATTTGTTTCTTGATCCTTTTAGGCAGATAAAAAGCATGGATGGATCGAAGTACCTTTCGATTGCATATTTACATTTAATGTCAGCATTTCTTCATTATCTCATGGTTTGTAAAGCATCAGAATAAATATTCTTAATGATTTTTTCCTAACTACAATACACTGGATTTCAAATTCAGTCTTATTATTTTCCTAAGTAGTTTATGTTCTACTTCATCTCTATTCCATTCCATGTAATAAAAAGCCGTTATTTTTATCAATTCACTCTTACCTCACCTCTCCCTCTATTGAGCCAAACTGAATACACCCGAAATGGAAGAAAGATATTTTTTCTTCGGTTGATAAAGCCCAATATTTAGATATGCACGTCTCACTTCATCTCATACATTGATAAGATATTCATGAATTTGTTTCATTTTCCCTGATCTCTTTCAATGGAAAAGGATGGAGGCAACTCCAAATTTGAGATAATTTGGAACCTCATTGAGTATATCTTGCACTATCAAAGGTATAGGTATAGAACTCCCTTCACCACTTTGACGATTCACTTTCGGAAAGAATAATAAAATCAACTTCTTTCCTTTCTTGGCAATATGTTCATTATACATTCTAAAAAGCATTTTCAATATTGATATAAATTAAAATACTTCTATGCAATTATAAAAATAATAAAATAAAAAATCGTTGTACATAAAAGTATAAAATTAATAAGTATTCTCAATTTCAAAATTCAATTGAAATTTTTTCAATTCTTTCTTACATGTCCACACAATAAATAAATCATTCTCTAATCTTCAATTGTATACTAAATAAATCATTCTCTAATCTTTAATTCTACCTTTTTTTTTGGTGATTCTTTAATTCTATCTTTAATAATTATAATTTATAATGAATTAAACACTATTTCATAATGTACTGCAAAATTCAATTAATAATCAAATGGATTCCCTAACCATAAAACTTTAAAAGGCTAAAAATAATACTACCTCCGTCCCAATAAACTTTGACCAATTATTTTAACTACTAGTAATACACAATAACACAAAGTCACAAGATTCTGTCAAAAAAAAACACAAAGTCACAAGATAATAGATTAAAATTCTAAAAGAGAATTAGAATTAGAATATACCTGGAGCAGTGGAGCTGAAGGCAGAGCCGGAGTCTGGAGAGGCGGAGAGGAAGGAAGGACGGCCACGCAGGTCACTGGACGCAAGCAGCGGCGCGGTTGGTAGCCTGGTGTTCACGTCTTCGTCGCAAGTCGCAGGTCGCAGGTCGCAGGTCGCAGGTCGCAAGCTCTGAAGCTCCGTCTTCGTTCTTCTACTTTCCTTCTTCAGTTCTTCGCACTTCTGCCAGTTCGCATAAAGGAGGCGCGGGTAAGGTGAAGTATGGGCTGGGCTGGGCTGGGCTGCGCTGGGAATTAATTTTGGGGTGGTCTGGGAATTAAATTGTGGAAATTACCCGATCCATTTTTCTGTCCCACATATCATTTATGTCCCAAATATTTCTTCTTTTCATTTTTAATCTTTTGTATTTTCAATTATGTTTTTTTATTTCAATTTTAAACTGCTCCTGTGCACCTCCTCGTTAAAACAATATAACGGAGAGAAGCGTTCCCGTCGTTGGAAGGCTTCGAGAGCGACCTCCACCTCTAATGGAAGGGAATTCCACCGCCGAAATTGGGCATCACCAAGTTTTCCGATGCAGATGAGAGAGTAGATATTCCTCCTTCATTCCGACCAGGGCTTTATCGATGAAGAGCAGAGTGGACAGGGGATGAATTTGCAGATCGAGCGAAGCACAGTTGTCGTTTTGCTATACCTTGGTAGTCAATTTGCGAATTTGTAGCACGGCAGTTACGATTTCCGATTTGAACTTTCCGATGCAGATTCGAGAAAGTATCCTTCTCCAACGTCCAGGTGATAGCTTCCTTCGATATTGAGCCCTTCAGTGGCGGAGCCACCTATAGAGTTGTGGTGTCAATTGACACCACTGAAGTTTTTCTTTTTCATACTATATAGGTATACAAAATTTTTAAAAAATTTAAAATTGACACTACTGAAAAAAAAAATTACAAATAGATGTATGTAATCTTTCAAAAATTTAAAATTGACACCACCATTTAAAAAATAGAAATTGCTCAATATAGGATCAAAACATCAAAAAGATAAAAAAAATATGACTAAATATGTTTTATTACCCAAATAAGACTCCGGTATAGTAGTCTTTTTAAAAGAATAACTTGATCAAAACTTCTCAAATCAGGAGTTATTGAGTCCTATTTTGGGAATAAAACATCGATAGTACTATTTAGGAAATTGTTGGTCCCAGATTTCTGTAGACTAACACACAGCTAGATGGATATCATCGAATAATAGAGAAGAACGATTGCACAGAATGATTTATGCAATATCGAGAACTTGGAAATCGTCTTTCTATTATATCGAGAAGAATTTTGGCAGCGTAAGGCTAAGGTGTATTAATCGATATCGGCACCTGTACAGAACGCTCATATTTATAGGCGCTGTACAGGTTACCGAATTAGGTAAACCTTGGGATTTGGGCCAAGGCCTTTTGGGCCTTATTCCCTTTAACCCATTTATTACAAAATGATTACTAATCTAATACCATAAATGGTATAACTAGTCTACTTTATTAAACAAGACATTACAGATAAACTTGACTCACAATAAAACACTACGCCAAAAATGAGCTTTTTCAACATACCAAAACAGTCGAAAAAGAGCATTTTCGACTATTTTGATCAGTCAATTTGAGTGTCGAAAAAAAAGAGTCAAAAAAAATTTCGACTGACTTCACTTGTTGATATCAGATTTTGAATAACGACTACTTTAAACTGTCGTAGTTTAACGACATTAAATATTAGTCGAAAATGATTTGTAGTGTATAATATGGTACTGTATATATTAGTTGTATTAACATGTATTCAATTTTTATTTACTATGTACATCAAATTTTTTTAAACAAAGATGTATTTCTCGTATGCACACCAATAACACACAATTATTATAATAGATTGCAAGAGCAAAATAAAGTCACAATTATCATTCATCTATGAAACTCAATTAAAAAGAACCCATGTCTAAAATCTTTTTACATTAAGTATGTATCATTGAGTCATTGACACAGATGGTCAACATTCTAACAAACTAAAAGATTAACAACAATATAATAGCAATGAAATTAGTTGATCCTGGCAAGGTGAACAATCTTTTTTGACAAATCGATGAGTTCATCAAGTATTAGCCTTTCATGTCTATACTTTTGTTCTTAGATTTGTTCAGTAAGACACTCAAAATCAAGAAAATAATTTTATTCATCACCCCCTTCACAAGACTTTAGGTAATTTTATCAAACAGGTAGAGGGCATAATCGAAATCACAGACTACCTACAATAATCAAAGAATCATGCTGGTTGAGTTTGCAGATACTGAACTAAACATTGCAGACTTAAATCTAAAATCTAATATTTTGTGTTTGAACTTGTGTAGCACGGAAAAATGGTATCTCCATGTATTAGATCCGAACAAGAATACAAACAAGGAACACCTAGATTATAAGTAAAAGCTATCATACCTGGCTCTGTTATACCCTCGTTGTTCTCGTTTCTCGTACTCAGATATGAGATCACAGACAAGCCAATGCTCGACTGGAATAGCACTGCAGCACGACTACGACACTCCCAGAGTCCCAGTGGATTATGGTTGACAGGGTACGAAGTAAAAGGTCCCGGACATGGCCTCTAGCTTCGCCTTTGGTTCAGTTATATTCTGCTTGTTCTCATCTCGATCTGTTTTGCAAGGATGAACTGAATTTTAGCAGCGCGCAGAGATGTAAATTTTGTGTTTCCCCTCGTTGTAACACCACAATTTTAGGTTTATCAAAAATTGAGTTGTGAGCGGGACTTCAGTTTGGCCCGTCAAAAAAAGAGCGCTGCTTTTATCCGCAGGTGTAATGAAAGTAGGAGCACTTCGACTGATTTTTTGAGTCAAAAACGAATTGACGGTTTTTATTAGTCGAAATTGAAAAAGTAAAAGTGTCAAAAATATCCAGTTTTGGCGTAGTGAAAGTTCTAACAATCTCCCCCTTTGTGATCAAGTGCCGTCTTGCGGGGTATTTTCACTTCTGAGCTTTGAAGTAGTGTTTGCGTAGGTTTAGCGCGTGCTCATAATTTCTGAGTGATCTTCTTCTATCAAGTTGCTTCTCGATGCCCTGTAGAATGTTGTCAATTCTCTGTAGTTCCTTTAGTTCTTCTTTAGAGGCTTCGGTTGATTTCTGACCAAGTTCTTCTTTCTTTGATCGAAGCTGCTCCTGGATGATCTTCAGAGTTCCGTCACAATACTTGTTAATTTCATCTACAAACATTAGACGCTTTTCGTTGTTATGATTCAGATAGATGACTGAGAATGGGTTGTCAAAGATATAATATGCTGCAAAGGATTCAAGCCCAGGTCTACTCAAGTCCGGTCGTGTAAGGTTTGCCTTTGAATAGTTGTGTTCTAGAGTCATCTGGAGATCATGGGAGGCGTAGAACCGAACTTGTCTTGTCATGAATCTTTTTATAGCCTCGAAGCCCTCTTTAGCAAGTCTGTCTTTGTGAACTGGGAGCTCCCTGCATCTCATGAACATTTGATAAATGTCATCCATGTGTAGTAGGAAGAAGTCATCCTCTTGGCAGGTGAACTCCGAGCCATCAGTACGTTGTAGACGAAAGATCAGGAACTTAATTGTCTCCAAGTAATCTTCTGTGATATCTAAGATTTTCATTATAGGAAATCCACTTGTTGCAAGATTATGATTTAGAACTTGTCGTTGTTCCCCTGTGGATCTGTGTCCTAACATGTACAGGTTTCCTCCTCGATATTTTCCTTTCAAGTGATTGATTCCTCGCATCTTTAATTCACTGAACTTCTTGATCTTTTCTGGTTGTCGCCAAATTTTCTCTCGGATTTCTTCTAGGAAGGGGGCTTTGATTCTTACAATTTCCCATTTTTCTTTAGCTGGTTCTGGTTCCTTGGGGTTTTCTTTATGATTCTCCCCTTCCTTGAGTTCATCTTCATCAAGTCCAATCATTTGTGCATGATATTTATTGAGAAACTCTCCGAGATGCCAGCTTCGACACATTTCATACTGCTCAGCTTCCACTCTAAGATCATCCCACTCTGTCCACTTGCGAGGCCACTGATCATGAACTAGAAAATCTTCAAGTTCATCTTGTATTTGATTACCAGAGGGTTTAGAGTGAGCTTGTTGTTGTGTCGAAGGCGACCTGTCGTGTGAAACACTGGGATCCTCAGGATTGCCCATTGTCATCAGTTTCGAACTAGGTTCTAGCTGATGGTCTGAGTACAAAGATGTACTTGTGGTAGCATCATCAGGACTTCCATTCCGTCCTTGGTCAACATCTATAGGAGATGCGCCTCAGAATGTTTTATCTAGCTCGACCATGCTAGAAAGAGAGGCTAGGGATTTGTGGCTGGCTGAAGTAGTGGGTTGCTGATTGGTAGAGGTGGAGGGTTTGTTTGGCTGCGGGGCTTGGCTTGTAGAAGCAACATGCTCAAGTATTCGCTGGCGCTTGTTCTCCCCCTCATGAGAATCCGAATCATCAGGATCCTCATGTGAATGTTTAGTGCCACGAAGACTGTCACGACATGTGTTCTGAGTATCTAGAGCATGGAGAAGGGCTTTTTGAAGAGGGGTAAGGTTGCCTTCTTCCACATCTAGGATACGGTCGAAGACCTCAGCTACAAGATCATCGAAGGGTATGGTTCGGAGATTGGGTTTGGTCATTATAGGGGAGGATACTAGTTCGGTATCCTGGGTTCCCCTAGAGGTGGATGGTTGTTTGGTTAGCTAAGATTAAAGGTTGGGAAATAGGAATGGAAATGGTTGGGGGCTGTGTGGTTTGGGGTTCAGTTGGTACATCTTGAACAGCTTGGGTGCTTCCTGAGCCTTGTGCACTAGCGATTATTGCTTCATGCACCCATGGTTTAATGGTAGACTCTAGAAAGCTGTTCAAGTGTATGAGAAGATCTTCGGGGATAATGGTTCCAGTTACAGGGGTCGTAACTGTTGTCACAGCATCAGTAAAGATAGCTAATGTGTGGCCTGCGATCAATGATTGAGGCATTGTTGGCGTAGCAGGACTTCCGACCATCATAGTTTGCACTCTGGTCGTTGCATTCAGGGTGAGTGCACTTGTATGTGCAGTGAATAGTGTAGGTGTCCTAGAAAAATTTAAAAATGTAGGAATGGTGACACCTAGACTCGATGTGATAGAACGAATGGGGGTAGTGGTCTGGGGCTGATGACCACTAAGATTCTCAACTGATTCGGAAGGAACCAGCGAGGTCGGTAAAAATTCCCCTTGAGTTATTGAAACTCCACACTGTTGGGAGGATGGAGAGTGGATGGGAGATGGCTGTGCATGCGCAGTTGAACCAGATGCTGCGACTTCTACCCGAGAACTGACAAGGTCAGCTCCTGTACCTAGGGGCGTGGTTCGGTCTATGGTGACAAAGGTATCGCAGTCATCATATAGTGTCAGCTCTTCCTCCACTGCACTTCTCTTTCTCAGCCTCTTCTTAGGCTTGGATGATGCAGATTTGTAGCTTTTGTGCTTGGAGCGCTGCTCACAGATGACAATGCTCTTAAGCGGCCGGGACATGTGACTATGTGAGCAGCCTCTTCATTGTCCGATGAGGAGTCGGAGTCTATCGGAATGGCTCTCTTTCCAGCTCTTTTCTTGTTGCTGATCAAAACTCCCTCTATGTCATCATCATCTGCATCATCATCATCATCATCTCTTCGCTCCTTGGCCATGCTATCGGATGCCTCACCACCAGCTTTATTAGAGGGAGCCTGGCATGATGGTTCATCGGCAGTGTCCTCAGCATTGGTGGGGTGGCCCTCAGCAGTCTGGGTCCTCTCGGAAGAGTTAGCGACTGATCATCATTAGGCCGGACTGCCACTGGTTTCTGTGGCTTGGGGACACTCTTCTTTTTCTTACCCTCACTTGGCTTAGTCCCTTGGGAAGGTCCAACTGCGTTTTGTTGAAACATAGGGACTGCTCTCTTCAGCGACTCTTTGTAGTCAATGACTGCCTTGTCTCTCGGGTTTGCTAGATCAAGCAGGGAGTCCGGGATTGGCAGTGCTTCAGCTTTGTTGTTGTCTCTCTGAAAGTATCTGAGCTTGGGAGCAGTGAATTGCTTGTCTTCCTTACGCTTTGGCATGGTCGGGGTGGCCTTCATTATATTGTGGATCATCATGGTCAGCCACCGAGCGTAAGGGATTGTGCTCCCTTTGTTCCCTTTCATCTTCACTTGATCCATTAGCTCTGTCCAGAAGAGCTGGGCCATATCGTACTGTATATCAAAAGCGATCCCGTGGAAGATTTGTAGTATCTGTTTGTTGCATTTGTCGTGTCCGGCGTGCTTAGGAGATAGGAACTTGTTCACCAGACCGAACTGACTCTTCCACAGGTGGGGCAGGTTTGAGATTGTGAAATTCGACAACAGAGGCAGCGGGTTGTCATAACCTAGATCCTTCATCCCCTTTATCAGCTCTTCGTTTGAGGGGAGTGGTGCGTAGTTCTTGAGCACTGGGAGCTTCAGTGTCTCCCTGATTGTGGATGGTGTCAGCACCACTCGCACGTCATTCAGCTTGGTCATTATCTTCGATCTATCATTTTCTGAGGCTGTGTGCATCAAACCCCAGAATTGTTGTAAGTATACCTCTGGCACAGGTTTGGCTTCGCTGAATGCAGGCCAGAGGTAGTGCTTCTGTAGAATTGACAGTATCACTGGATCCTGGCATTTGAAAAGCTTCAGGTCCAATTGAAAGTTGTTGTCAAAAAGTGGGACCCATTTCTCCTTTGGGTATACGTCATCGCTTGATTGAGCAGTTCTGTCTGTTCCTGACATGATTGACTGAAAGAATTGGGTCAGCAAATTGTTCATTTGAAAATTTTGTTTTTGTTCTGTTTTTGCAATTTTTCAGATCAGGTGTGTACTGGTGGGACCTCGAGAAGATTTCTGAGTGTAAACCACGAGAACCATCTTCTCGAGGTTTGAATATCGAGAAGTAGGTTCTCGAGGTTTAAATACCGAGAAGCTCTTCTCGATACTCAAATATCGAGAACTTGGTTCTCGAGATGAAAGCATCGAAAAGTCCTTCTCGATATTGAAACATCGAGAACCCTTTCTCGAGGTTTAATACCGAGAACCTCTTCTCGGTATTTCAAAGTTCGAGAAGTAGGTTCTCGGTATTAAACATCGAAAAGACCCTTTTCGAGGTTTAATATCGAGAACCAAACATCGAGTTTTGAAATATCGAGAAGTTGATCTCGAGTATTAAACATCGAGAAGTTCAATTTCTCAAGTTTATACTCAGATTCGAAGTCGAGAACCACCTGCAAATACACATTCAATAATGATAACAAAAATTCAACTTGAAAGCTTTTCGATGTCAAATTTCCGATTTTGAAAAATGTGGTTCTCGATATACAACCTCGAGAAATTTCCCAAGTTTGAACTCGAGAACCTTTACATTATGAGCGTAAACTGATTCATTGTTGTTTTTCATGACTGAGAACCATTTTTACTACCTTTGGATGGATTTAAGTAAGATTCGAGAAAGTGGTTTTCGAGAAACCGAGGGTGCGAGAACGTGAAGGACTTCGAGAATCAGTTTGTGAAAAATAGAGTTATGCGAAAACTTCTTTTTCGAAGTCCTTTTTATACGCGAGAAAAATGGGCCATGCGAGAAAAGTTCTGGGCCCGAATGATTGAGCTGGGCCCGGTTCAGTTTAAAAAAAATTATTTTTGGTCCCAAAGATTTATTTATGTACAGAAAAAAAACTCCCCCTCAAATTGTGCATTCAAAAAAAATGAAAAACACACACACTCACTCTTTTTCTTTCTGTTCTGATTTTCTCACATACTCTTTTTCTTCCTTTTCTGATTTTCTCACATACTCACACACACACATTCTTTTTCTTCCTTTTCTGATTTTTCTCACATACTCACACACACACACACTCTTTTTCTTTTCTTTTATGATTTTCTCAAACTCCCCCCCTCAAAGCATTCATCTCTCTTTTATTTCCTCCCTTATTCTCCCCCTCAACACATGCAACGCACACCACACACACTCTTTTTATTCAGACAAGTGAGACATACATAATTACAAAGGCTCGAGGTTCAACATGCCCAACTTGGATACTAGGAACTGGAATCTCTTTTCATCCAGTGCCTTAGTGAACAAGTCAGCCAGTTGAAAATCAGTGCTTACAAAGTACAAGTCAATATCTCCTTTCTCCACATGGTCCTTGATGAAGTGATAACGCAGGTCAATGTGTTTGGTGCGCGAGTGATGAACAGGGTTGCTGTGTCACGCCCCGGACCTCCCCGGACACGTCAACAACCCGCCGTACAACACATTCATATTATACAAGGCGTCATGAATATCATTCACACATATAACATCCATAAACAAACATAATAAGTAATTCATTACGCAGCGGAAAACATAGTTTGAAATCAGATGCCACACAGGGCAAACATGAGCACGCAGGCTCTAAAGTAAAATATCCATGAGCATGTTTATTAATGTTCTAAAACAGAATGGAGGAAGCACGAACCAAGTCTTCTCCCCGGGAAATCACTCGAGCAATGAGCACAGGAAGCAAGCTCTAGCCTCAACCTGAAATGGTGGTGGGACGCCCCTGTTCACTTAGCCGCAGATCCATTTTTTTTTCTTGCTATTCGAAGCACAAAAACAAGTAACCGCAGGGGATTTCATTCTTTCTGTTCATTCACACTTAGCCGCAATTCAGTTTATTCATTGGAAGCACAAAATCATTAGCCGCAACAGACAACCATAATCCAGGGAGCTTCATTTTTCTTTCAATTTCTTCCATTCTAGTTTAGATTTCAGCAAGTATTGTAAGTTGATCTTCATTTACGGTATTAGTTGTTGTTTTTTTAGACTGAAATTCATGTTTTGTTCTTCTCCAGTTAATAACTTTCGAATTTCCCATTTAATTAAGTCATTCTTCTTTCTATTTTAATCAATTATTTATCTAGATTCTCATCATGTTTATCAATGCTATAGTCATGTTAATTTTAAGTATGAGTAGCTAATTCTGTATAGGGTTTGAATTGGGGCTAGGGTTCATGGGTTCTTGAAGGTGTGAATTTAGTTTTTTTGAAATTCAATTAATTTTCTGGAAAATTGTATAAGATTAATCATAATTGTCTATATGAATTTGATCACCTCATATATGAATTTTTGGATTTAATTCAATTCTTGTCTATGAGAAATTGAGTTAAATTAGCTTGGGTCTTATACAAGCAATCTGATCTTAGAAATAAGTTAGGATTGTGAAAATTTGATTTAATTCTTGTCTATGAGAATTCATTTAATTTTCTTTCCAGGAACAATTGAAAATCAATTTTACTTAATTCTAATCCCGAAAGAACACCCAGAATCCGAACCATCCAATTTGAACCCTGTTTTAATATTCTGAATCAATTTACTTATTTTTTTTATCTATTTATTTTTGCACTTGCTTTTAGTTAATTTTTTTTTAATCACCAAAAAAAAATTATTCGGAAAGATTACCATGACTTGTGCTAGCCTGTGATCACAGACTGTATTTAAAACTTCCTTTTTGCCACTCCTTGAGAGACGATACTCGTGGTCTGGTTATTCTTCGGATTAGCCAACTACGTTTTACTTCACTAAAAAAAAACACCGATCAATATACAACAAGTATTTCAAACACAAGACCCTCAAATAGGGTGATAGTACAATATGGTTGTAACCCTAAGTTACCCCGTTTGAAAATATACTTACTTTATATAAAAGTCAAGTAGTCGGCCCGTGGGCCCAAGTTCGTTTAGAAATCACCATTCCCATTCCCCGTGACTATAAGCCACGACAACTCATAGAGTCCAACCCTAAACATGACATTGTATTCTAGAGCTCCGCTCTATCACATCACCATACAATTCATGTCACTCGGGTCAATTTCCTTATCTTGCATTCTAGAGCACGGCTCTATGACATCACCATGCAATCCTTAGAGCTCCAACCCAATACATGACATTGTATTCTAGAGCTCCGCTCTATCACATCACCATACAATTCATGTCACTTGGGTCAATTTCCTCACCTTGCACGAAGGTCCAATTCCTAAGCAAACCTATGCCTAGAGTTGACATATCAACAAACTACCTTGGGTCATCCTTAAAGACTGCCCATAACATAACCTTAGCTTCATACTAAGTCATTATATACACTTGAGTTATATTCAAGTGCATTGCATACAATCCAATTCCTAGGATCAATTCTATCAACAATTTCCAATAATCACTAACTAGTATTTCAATACTATTAAGATTATTGTTATCATACAAATATTCTCATTTTGTAATTCTCTACATATTTATAGACATGTAGCAGCAACTTAAGTATTCAATCTCAATACATAAATATTCATTTATGTATCCACATAATTCATACATGAGTAAAACCTCTATTTCACAAAATAGTTCTTTTATAACTCTTTTAATCTCATATTGTTCATACATCCTCAAATCATTTCCAATTTCATTCTTTGGAAACTATATCAATATTTCATCAATATTTAATCATCATAATCCATGAAAAATTATGCTTTAGGCATTTAGGTAATCTCATGCTTAACCTACAAGTTGTAAGCAATTAGATGTCAATCCTCACCTTAAATGAGCTTTAAAACTTTCCTTCTCGATCCAATGACCAAAGCCTCTTGACTTGCCGAATGAGTAGGATTCCTCATCTTTATAATCGTCAAAACTTTCAAGGGGTCTAGACATCAACTCCTTGATTCTCTCATATACTTCAACGGTTTTCGGCTCCATAAGCTGTGTAATTAGCTTAAGTCGTTTCATACTTCTACACATGGAATCCCAGTCAATTGGATCTCTATTAGCCATCTTTTTTTTCCACACCATTCATTCTTGGGCCGGAGAAGGATGATTTATACTAAAAAAAAATTAAATTGTCACGGTCTTAGTCACGGCTTTATCCGTGACTAACCTGTCAGACTGGCAGCCGGCGAGGTGTCAGGGCAGCCGGTATAGTCACGGTCTTACCCGTGACTAAGACCGTGACTAATTCAAATTTTGAATTTAGTCACGGTTTTAGTCACGGATAAGACCGTGACTATACCGGTCAAAGGCGGCTGATGCCGCGTGGTTGATTTCGTTGATTACGAAGAGTTTAGTCACGGATATTTCCGTGAGTAAATCCGTGACTACTCTCTCATATAAAACTAACACTTAGCAAATTTTTTTCTAACCTACGCTTCCAAACCCTATTTTCCTCTCAAACTCTTTCCCTTCTAACTTCCCCTTCCACTGCCGCCGTCCTGAGTGCACCGCCGCCGCCGTCCTCCGTCCATTGCCATTGTCCGCCGCCGGTTGCCGCCGTCCACTGCCGTCGTCCACCACTCCTCTTTTTTCGCACCTCACTCTCCACATCAAGGTTATGTTTTCTCAATTAATTTTTTACTCACAAAAGCACGTTTATGTACTCAAATGCATGTTTATATGCTCCTATGCATGATTGAAAATTGAATGCCCTAATGATTTATTGTACAATTACATATTTATGTGTATATACATTTAATATGATTATATGTGTATATGTTTTTACGTTTATAGACACAAATGCATGTTATTATTATGTTCGCATTACAATATTAATTTTGTAATATTGTAATATTAATTTCGCATTACAATATTAATTTGCATGCTCAATATTAATCTCTCCACGATTATTAGTTTTGTTTTAATTTCAAATTACAATATTAATTTGCATGCTCAAAGTTGATAAAATTTATTTTTTCTTTTTTGTTTGATTTCTAATACGTATGCTTTAGATATAGTTTGATTCAATTTGATTTTTTGTGTATAAGTTTAATATGCATGCCTAAATATGATTTAATTTTAGGTTAAACAACATGCATGTTTTTTCAAACTTTTTTTTCGGACTTATGCATGAATTATTTAGACATTGTTAGGATTATTATTATTTTATCATCAATCAAATTTATTATTTCCGAATTATTTAAAAAATACCCCCTCATGTCAAACTTCCAAAAAAGTTTGACATGTTAATTATAAAATATTAATTTAGACATTAAAAACTGTTTTCCGAAATAAAATATAGATTATAAAAAACAGTTTAATAATATACTGTTTTTTTATTAAACAGTTTGATATAAAACTGTTTGATAAAAAAACAGTTTAATAAAAAATACAGTTTGATAAAAATCAATTTAATAAAAAACAGTTTGATAAAAAACAATTTAATAAAAAAAAGTTTAATAAAAACAGATTTTAATCAAAGAGTGATTAATAAACAGTTTTTTATGAAGTTTACTAAAAATGAGGTGTAGTAATAAATATTGTTTTTATTAAAATTGACATAAAAAAATATAACACTGGTATTTTATAATTTATAAAACAATAAAACAATTTATAAAGTGTTTTTCCTATAAAACTGTTTTTATAATTTATTAGACTGGTATTTTAAATATTATACTGTTTTTATAAAACAGTTTTTATAATTTATAAAACGGTTTTTTTTTAAACTTTTTATAAATAAAACCGTTTTTATATAAAACTTTTTTGTATAAAAACAGTTTATACAAAACTGTTTTTATATAAAACTGTTTTATAAAACATTTTTTGTAAAACTGTTTATAAAAAACTGTTTTTATAAATATAAAAAGTTAAAAAATAGTATGAAAAATGCAATAAAATGATTTTTTTAACATCCTTATAAAAAGTAAAAAAAAACACATATATTTAAATTTTCAAAATAAATTATGTTCCCTCATGTAAACTTGCCTAAAAGTTTAACATGTTACCTTTAAGAACAATTTATTTTAGAGTTATAAAAAATTTAATTTATAAAATTACCACCCCTCATATTAAACTTACACACAGTTTAATATGATATACACATTTTCAATTGATAAAACTATAAATCACACTAACATTTAAAAATATAAATTAATATATTTCAGATGAGCAATGAACAATCAACCTCGCGTGCCCGCCCAAACTATGTTCCCTTAACCGAAGCTGAGCGCAACAATGAAAATGCGCTTTGGGTGACGCCTCACATGGTTGCAAAGTAAGTAACTATGAATTTTATCTAACGTCAAATAAGTTTTTAAATGTATCATAATGTAATCAAAACTTCTATAAATAAATATTATTAATTTTTTGAAGCGATCAAGAAGTGTTGGACCGAATCAAACTCATAATTGGAGGACACTTTCTTGGGAACTGGGCAAGTTACACGGATGTTGACCCCAAGGTTCGTGAACTTTGGTGGAACCTATTCAAGGTAAAAAAAATGAATTTTCTCTGCGTAATTGTACCAACGTAACATTTGATAAAAGATAAATTAATTTTTTTGTTTTTTATAAAGGGCCAGTTTCGATGGACTGAAGCCCAAGGTCCCGCTATTCTTAGAGCGTATAACGCTAGGATTTCAAACTGGCTTCGTCCTACTTTTAGGCGTGCCCGAGCGAGCGGGGTAAGGCCTGGATGGTGTTCAGAGGAGGTGTGGGCCAACCTCGTCCATCACTGGTCTTCTGATCCAAACTTCTTGGCAAGAAGTCAATCCGGTAAGAAAAATCGGATGTCCGAGAAGGCCTTGGAAACCCAATGGCATGGGGGCCGCAAACCTCAGAGTAAACATAAAGAAGATCTTGTAAGTCTTATTCAAAAAACCTTATACCATTACAACCCTTCATTTTTACATTTATTTATGGATCTTGCCTTTTTTTTCGAACTATGTAGGCGGGGCCTGAGAAGAAGAAGGTCTCAATTCTCAAGGTCATTAAGCACTGCTGGACAAAGCACGGCGATGAGTCGGAAGCCGACCTGCCACCCCGCCTCGCTGAAATCGAAGTAAGTAACATCTATTTTGTTACTTGGTACCATTCAAAATCGAATTGAGTAACATTAAATTAACAAGTTTTGTACATGTAGACGAAGTATAACACAAATGTTGAGAAGAAGCGGACGGAATTAGGCTTGACTCAGGAGGATGAGATTGATTCTGATGTGGAAGATGAAGCAATCGTTGAGGCAGATGGGGTGTACAAGGGCCGGGTTCCATGCATGGGGGCCGAGGGGCAACGGATTTTGTACGACCGCAGCGGCGCTTCTTTCTGCGTGTCTCGTACAATAATGATGAGGGGAAACGGATTTTGTACGACCGCAGCGGCGCTTCTTTCCTATATCAATCAATGCAGATATATCAATGTTGAAAAGGGTGAACATACCAATAATGACGTCATTTTCGGGTTGCTCTTCCGTACTGCGCTAACCATCCTTGTTCTCCCTGCCTAGCTTAGTACGTAACATATAGTAGCTATTTGTTGTATTTTATATGCCAAGGAACTTAGGACCATATGGAAAGAAAATTAAGGTTGCATATTTATAGTGAAAATCTTTAGACTCTCACCGCCAATATTATTTTGCATGATTATTCTGTCAGATGGAGTCCTTCATGCATATGAGGACATTCCTTATTACTAAGATTTATCCTACGGAGACCAAGTGGCTTATGACATGGATAGTTACTTGCTACATCACCATATTCTATGAGATACTAGTTCATCGCATAAGTAAATCAAAATTTTAATTTAATTATATGAGGCTTTATCCTAAATTGAAGTAAATAGTGGAAGTAAATTTTACTCCTTGTCACTATGATAGAATGTCTTATTAGAACCAAGTGTCTAGGTGATGGTGCATGAGTCTTGCTGCGTCACTACTCCACATTATATATTTTGGTTTTATCATCTATTAGTTTTTTAATAAGATTTTCCTAATTAGTTAAATTTCCTAAAGTGAAAGAAATTCTCATCGCTACTTGTTTGTTTCATCCCATAGCATTCCATAAACGTAATAATTTTCTTATTTACGTATCAACATAAAATCCCATAATTTAATTTTGTGATAAAAATTGTTAAAGATTTATCTAAAATAACTATGATAAAGAAAACGTGTCAAAATTAAAATATATCCATTTTTATTTACTTATTAATTTTATAAATTTATTCATATCTAACTTAACAACTAGACTGGATTTTGGGGCGTTACATGGAGTCTGAGATGGCAGAGCTGCAGAACAAGATGACACTCTTGACCAATCAGTACAACAAGAAATTTTCCAAGAAGAACACCTCATCCAACAAGCTGAGAACCTCCTCATCCAACTACAAGCCAAAGCAGTTTGAGCAGAATTCCTCAGAAAGAGTCATTGCAGCAGAAGAACCTCCTAAATGCTTTAATTGCAGGAAGGCTGGACATCTGATTACAGATTGTCGCCTACCAAAAAAGGAGGGACTTCAATTACTACAAGCAGAAAATGTTCCTGAACAAGCAAAAGATGTTCATGGCAAAGCAAGAAGATGAGAATGCTGCACTGCTCGCTGAGAAGGACCATTGGATGGAGGATGATTCTTCAGATGAGGAAGAAGAAAATCTAGCTTTGATGGCGATTGTAGAGAAAGATGAAAGAAAGGGTTATGTTGTGATCCCCGGAGATGATGAAAGTGAAGGCTCCAACAGCAATGTAAGTCCTTCTAAAATCTCATGTTCTTGCAACTGCGAAAATCATTCTTTAGTCGAAAAGGATAAAATCATTAAGGAACTTGAGGCGAGGCTTAATAACAATCATAAAGTCTTACTTAAGAACTTGCATAAGAATGCCTGCCTATCCTTAAAACTTGATGAATCTACAAAGAAGGTTGAAAAACTGACCCTAGAAACAGACAAGTTGACACTTAAGACCGCTGACTTGACTCGTGAGCTGCGTGACACCAAGACAGAGCTTAACCAAACAATTGGATTAAAAAAGGTTTTGCATGATCAAAGAAGTGCTCTTTATAGGAAGATTAAGGAGCTTGAGGATCTGTTAGCTAAACGTGATCAAACTGAACAAACAATTTTCTTAAATCAGCCCAAGGATACCCGTTTCTATAACTCCAAAGAAGGTCCTGGTCTATCGAATCCCTGCAACCTGAAAAAGGTTAAATGTAAACAATTGTATGATGTTAACTATATGGGGTTCGGTCTGACCAAGCTCATGCATTTCACTGCAGCAAAAGAAATGGAAGAACTTGAGGCTGAGAAAAGAACAAACAGCACAAAAGCTCAAATCTCTTTTGATTATTCTGCTTTGAACAAAAGTTATGCTACAGCTGAACCTGTCTTTTCTTCTGATGAATGCGTGAGTCTTTATCCTTCTGAGAAGGAAACTGTGTCTGATCTGGAGCCTCCCTCTAACTCTCAGTCTGATGTAGATGAACCATACATTCCTCCTCTAATAAAGAAATTTGAAAACTTACACATTTTTCTTGAAAATCAAAGAAAAAGTTTTGAAGAAGAGAGGAAGAATTTTGAGAGTGAGCGTGACAGACTGTTGAATGAACTTACTCTTTTAAAAGAACAATCCTAGTCCAACACAGCTTCCCAGTCTACAAGTAGTACTGACTCAACCATTGATCATGACTACAAAATTAAGAACGTTTTTGAAAAACCACCTACTCACTCCAAGTCTCCTTCGGTTACAGGAACCAAAGTGAGTCGGAGATGGAAGAAGAGAGAAGAGTGGAGATTGAGAAGAAGAGAGGTTGCTGAAGGAAAGAAGAAAATGTTTTTTAAAAAATCTAGTTCTAGTGTGATGTTCTATTCCAAAAATAATTGTAGCTCTAGCTTTGTTAAGCATTCATGTAGTCAAAGTTCAGTCTTGAGTCCCAAGCTGAATGTTTCTCAGTTTAATGATGAACCTTTTGTATCTTCTGATAATGTTTATGCATGTGAAGGTAGTTTATCAAGTTCTGACTTTGATAGTGATGTGAATGATGTGAGATCGAAAAGAAAGAGTGAACAAAATTCAAGAGAGCATTCTGAGAATGAATCTATTGAGGGCTATTATCACTTTTTGCACTTAAAATATCCCCTCAAGATTCATTCAAAGAAACATATGAAAAGACTCTCTAAAGAAGCAATTTTTAAGACATATCTTAATCAACATCCATTCACTCACAGTGATCATGTCTCGTCTCCTCCCTCAAACAAACAAAAATGGATGCCTAAGTCTGAATGTGAAAAAGAAAAAGTTCAAACCCTGACTGAGAAAGCTGTTGACCTTGGATCACAGCTCAAAGAAAAATTTAAAAAGATATTTTTGATTAATAAGGAAGGACCCATCCTACGGTGGGTACCTAAGAAAACTTGATTGTTTTGCAGAACGTTCATGTGTGGCACTTAGATTCTGGATGCTCAACCCACATGACCGGAATAAGACATCTACTGAGCAACTACACGTCGTGTTACGGAGGAAATGTGAGATTTGGCAACAACGCATCGTCTCCTATCCTTGGATATGGAGATGTCATCTGTCCGAGTGTCACCATAAGGGCTATCTCATTTGTGAAAGGACTGAAGCACAATATGCTAAACATTGGACAATTTTGTAATAGCAGGATGGAAGTGAAGTTCAAATCAAGACAGTGCTGCGTGATTGACAGCTATGGTAACACATTATTAACGTGTAACAGGACAACAAACTTGTACACTATTGATATGAAAAGTGTCCAAACAACTTCATCCATCTGTCTGTTATCCAAAGCTTCCTCTGAACAGAACAGCCTGTGGCACAGACGCCTATCTCAATCATCCAGTTATAGTTACCCAATCATCTAGTTATAGTTACCCAATCCGTCCAGTTACAGTTACCTGACCCGTCCAGTTACGGTTACCCACCCTGTCCAGTTACAGTTACCCGACCCGCAGTCACCAACCCGATTAACAACCGCGGCCAATCCGATCAGTGACCAACCTGATTAATGACCGCGACCAATCCGACCTGTTACCAAGACTAATCCGACAACCGCATCCCAGACCAGACAACCACCCCTGACCACCGCGTCCCAGACAACCACCCAGCCCGGTGACGTCCGTCGTAGCCTCCGCCGCCGCCGCTGCCGTCGTCTTCGCTACCCAAGTACACCCTCTTTAGCCCCTGACCTGCACCATCCCCCTCCCCTGCACCAGCCTCCTTCCCCAGCACCTTTCGTTTCCCTTGAGCTCCAACCTTAGCCGCCGCCACCAGATCTGGATCTAGCTCGATACCATTCGTCATCCTCATCTCCCATCTTCGATGGTCGCCCGCCACCAACAGTCTTTAATCGCAACTCATAGCCGGCCATCGCGGATGCTCCAGTGCGACAAAGATGACAGATTTTCTCCATTCCAGAAAAGAAACGAGAAGAAGATAAGAGATCTGGCATTGCTCGATGACGGCTCACAGGAGACGGTAGCACAGTTACTCGGCGAGAGCGTGGCACCTTTGCTCGACGACGGTGGTGGCATAATTGTTGTGCGATGGACCATAGCGGAAGACTCGCTACGCGATGCTCGGTTGATTTGGTCCGCAGGTGAGTCTAAATGGATGCTCTAGGTCTCTTTTTTGTCCATCAATTTATTGGTCCTATTTTTGTCCACTCAAAAGTCCCAAGTATTATTTTTTCCATTATTTCATGTATTATTGTATAAAAAATTGAACGGCCTAAATGGATGCGTACCAGGGGTGTTTGTCAGTTCGTCTTTGCCAGTTTCGATTTTATCGGTTCGATATTATGTATGAATAGAATTTGTTTATTCGATGTTATTGGTTCGTCATATCACTCTACACCACACACTTCACATTGCAGTAGCTAGCTAGCTACAGATAGGCATAGACCGGGCCCGGACCTGACCGGGCTTTTTGGGAGATAATTGAGGCCCGGAACCGGCCCGGTTATCCACCGGGTCCGGGCCGGGCCTCGGGCCGATTCCTATTTTTTTTTGTTTTTGCTTTTCTGATTACCCCCTCCAAACCACCCCAAAACACCCAGCCCAACCCGTGAAAATAAAAAACAAATATAAAAAATAAAAAAAAATTAAAAAAGCCTGAACCGGGCCGGTTCCTAATTTGGGTGACCCGAGCCCGCCCAACTTAACCCCCGGGCCGGGCCTAACCAAACCGGTCTCTGGCGGGCCACCGGGCCGGGCCGGGCCGGTTCCAAACAGTGCCAGTTCCGGGCCGGGCAGCCCGACCCGAGTCCACCACTAGCTATAGATCTACGTACTCATCTAACACTTCTATTGAAAGACTCACTCCTCACTCTTTCACACCATGACACTACTAATCTACGGATCAGTTTTCAAGCGAGAATACATTTATGCAAATAGTCAAATACTATTGCTCTGAGAATGAAACTATGAAAGGAACGCGGATATAAAGATAGAACAAGGAGAAAACATTTACGAAGTATATTTCTAGAATCAATATCGATTCTTAATTCCACGACTTCGGTGTCTCATTAATTATTGTTGGTCATTAATTAAGAAAAAATAACTTATAGTGCACCAATTAATTTGAGAGAGAATTCTCTAAATTAAATAGGAGTAAAA